CCATAGGGAACCAAGCCACAGTACTCAGGAACCCCCTTACCAAATTGCAGTTGCCAAGCCCTGGTCTGGGAACTTAATTATTTCATTTCCTCCTCACAGTAACTCAAGCTCAAGAAACTAGAACTCAGAAAATTTAAGTAACTTGTCCAAAGCCAGCCAGCTAATCAGCGGCTATGCCTGAATTCAAACCCAAGTCTAACTTCAGAAACTGGATTAACTTTAATACAGATTCAAGCCAGATAAAATGTAGGCCCATTTTGAAGAAAAGCCTTGACTACAAGTCCAAATATCAACAAACACTAAAAACACAATTTAGACCAACGCTGACCTGCCTTTAGAACGGGAAGCTAATGACACCAAGGTCACAGGGTAATGGACAAGACAGGTGGTATGATCCCCTACCGCTGCCCATTCACTACAGTCTTTTCTCTCTCTCTTCACCATCTCTTTTCTTTCCTAATTTACCATCTGTTCCTTTTCCTATATCCCTTTTGTTTTTCTTTTTATACTGTATTGTAGCAAATCATATGAACTCTGCATTCAGATAACCCTGTGTTCAAATCTAAGACTCATTTCTTACTGTGTGACCTTTGGGCAGATCACGTAACCTAAACCTAAATTTCCTCAACTATCAAAGGATAAAATCTTCTACCTTTTAGGCTGCTGAAGGGATTAAATCAGATAATATGTGTGAAGAGATGACCAGGTCTCTAGTAGACTAAATGAGACTTTAACATTGAGGGTCAATGAGACTTGCTAACATACAATTTAGAATTGGACAGTCTTGGATTTGAATCCCTGCTCCACCACTTACTGGTTAAGTGATATGGGCAAGTCTCATAAAATTTATGTACTAAATTTACTTATCTATAAGATGGAATATATAGAATAGACTAAACAGATTTGGGAGATGATCAAATGGAATGATAAACATTTAGAAACTATAGATATTTAACAAATAAAGCAGCCTCTCATTAGAACTTGCAGTAGTGCCTTGTTCTCTAGAGGCCCATGTTTGTTGATGCCTGATCTATTTATCAAGCGTGTCACCACTAAAGATTAGGAAGTGCTAAAACACTAAGAAATGCTAATCTTGAACCTATCTTTTCAGATCATAAAATAAATATAAAAACAGGGAGGTAGAAGAGTACAGTGCAATGAAAAGACCACCATAAGAAGCATGGGTCCGGTCCCACTTGGGCCTTAACTGCCTATATAATGCCATATAAATCACACAGCTGTATCTGGAACATGAGGGGTTTGGAAACATTTTTTATTCTCCTGACTGGGACTGCCACTGGCATTTAGAGGGTAGAGGCCAGAAGTGCTGCTAAACACCCTACAGTGCACAGGACAGACTTCCACAGCAAACAATTATCTGGTCAAAATATCAATAGTAGTGAGGTTGAGAAGCCCTGGCCTAGATGATTGCTAAGTTCCCTTCGAGCTCTAATATTCTAAGAGACTGTGATGAGGCAGCACTGACACTTAATAGATGACATTCTTGCCAACATCTATCAAGCAATGGCTATGATATTGGTCAAAATCCTCCTACAGCCAGTGGGGGAATGTTTTCAGAATATTTGAATATTCTGAAATCAGTACTGTATTTTTGTGGGTAAGGACAGTGCTTCCTCACAACACGAAGAGAGCCAAGGATGAAGAGGAGTCAGTCCTACAGGGACTTGGTCCCTTGCTCTTTGGAGTTAGAATCAGTGTTTCCAAAGCCACAAGATTCCTTCTGGCCAAGATGATTTAAGTAACTCTGATTCAAGGTCAGAATAAGATACCACACGTAACAGCAGAGGTGAATCTCAAATACATCATGCTAATTGAAAGAAGCCAGACTCAAAAGGCTACATACTATTTGATTACATTTACATGTTATTTGGGAACAGACAAAACTGTAGTGACAGAAAACAGATTAGCAGATGCCAGGGCCTAGAGGTAAGAACAGTTTGACTGCAAAGGGACATAAAGAGATTTGGGGAATGATGCACTGTTTTGTATACTGAATATAGCATAAGCTACACAATCGTGTTTGTCAAAACTTAGAGAACTGCACACTGTACACTGAAAAGGTGAATTTTACTGTATCTAAATTATACTTCAGTAAAACTGCCCGGGCGCCTGGGTGGCTCAGTTGGTTAAGTAGTCCGACTTCAGCTCGGGTCCTGATCTCACGGTTCATGAGTTCAAGACCCATGTCAGACTCTGTGCTGACAGCTCGGAGCCTGCTCTGGATTCTGTGTTTCCCCCTCTCTCTCTGCCCCTACCCTGCTTGCATTCTGTCTCTCTTTCAAAAATAAATAAACATTAAAAAAATTTTTTTAAATAAAAATAAAATTGCCCCCTCTCACCTCCACCCCCAAAATATGATCACAAATGCTATGTTGTACTTTGGGAGAGGATGAACTGGATGACATTAAAAATCTTTCCACCCCATGTCCTATAATTTTATGACAGTCTGCCCCTCCTATCCTGGTGACCTCAGGGTTAAGTCTGGGCTCCAATTTCTGTGTTAAAGTAATGAGTCTCTCTGACCAACTTATATGCATATGAGTTCTGCCATTATTCAGGGACATTTGGCCCTACTTTAGCTTGTGACAGAGGCTCCTTCCCTGCTATCTCCTATCTTAACTCCCCTTGGGACTTATGAGGGCCTTAAACATTAATAAACAAGTCAGAATAAACCTCAGGGGACACTGGTTTTATCTCTCTGCACAGGCTTCCTGTCCAAATCCCATTTGATCTTTCCATTGAACTTCAAACCAAGCAAGAGAAGAAGGATCATATTTATGACCCCCTCCACTATGGACTTCTGGGCTTCCCACCAGATTATTCTTACACTTACGTTATATAAATGCACACTTAAATTATACCCAAGTTTGTTGAGACATATATAGATACAGATACGTAGTTTTGTTTTGTTTACATACATCACCGACCCAGATTATTACTCTATCAAATGTTACACAAAATGGTTAACTTTTCTTATATCCATACCTAGGTATGCTATAGCCAGGCAGGACTGAAACAGCCATTAGAATGCTCATACTTTCTGCTGATAAAGACCACTGTCTTCTATGACACATATGCAGTCACAACTGTGAAAGGCTGAAGGAGTCCCATCCTCTTATTTGAAAGTCAGCTCCTTTCTTGCCTCTGCATGAAGGATGTCAGTAGAACAGTTACAAACACCAGGAATCAGACACTTCATACATGCTTGAGTGCTAGGATAAAAATCAAGGTCCAAAAGAAAAGCCTGGACATGCCAGCGCCTTCATATTCCAAAGGACAGAAAATATGGTAGGGACCAGATACTATCCACACTGACGTTTTCTGCTAAGCATTTACAGCAAACGCCTTGTGACTACAAATATAGGGTGCTCGTATTACAACAGAAGGGGCCCACAGAGACAACAAATCCCACAGTAGTCTAGGGTCTTGTTTCCACATGTTCCCCTCAGAAGAGAAGAATGGGGGAATTACACTCCCATGTTTTAAAATTACTCAATCATCTCAGAAGTCTGCAGTGGCAAAAAATCAGTACTGTAAATCACTCAAACTTCTTTTTTTTAATGTTTATTTTTGAGAGAGAGAGAGATAGAGAGGGAGACAGAGGAGCCATAGCCAGCTCTGCACTGACAGCAGAGCACGATGCAGGGCCTGAACTCACAAACCGTGAGATCATGACCTGAGTTGAAGTCAGACACTCAACTGACTGAGCCAATCAGGCGCCCCCCATATTTTTTTTCATGTTTTAAGTCACTCAAACTTGATAACATTGCTTCTTTGGCATAATCAGAAAAAGGTTCACAAAAAACTAAAACACTTAGCAGAAAACATACTTTAGCTTTTTATTCAAAAGTATACAGACTGACAGGGTGCCTGGGTGGCCAAGCTGGTTAAGCATCCGACTCTGGCTCAGGTCATGATCTCATGGTTTGGTGACTTTGAGCCCTGCATCAGGCTCTCTGCTGTCAGTGCTGAGCCCGCTTTAGATCTTCTGTCCCCCTCTCTCTCTGCCCCTCCCCCACTCACGCATGCACTCACTCTCTCAAAAATAAATAAACATTTAAGGAAAAGTATATAGACTGATAGGCAATGTTCTTCCAGACTTCCCCCCAAAATATTTCCATTTCCAGTGGTATTTCCTAAGGACTTATTACTATTTTTCATATGTAGGTATGATGATATTGACCCACAGAAGGCCAAATAAGTGATTTTTCTAATATTAGGGATGGACTTTCATAGAAAGTATCTTGGTAACTGCTGAGGTGAGGGCTATTGTCTGTGGTCATAAAACTCAATGGGGCAAGGTTTGCAGGCCATCACGGGGACTGAATGCATGACCTTCAACAGTGCTCCAACAAGGACAATGCTGCTGCTTCACAGAAACAGAGAGAAGCCCTGTAGACTCAGCTGGCCAGACCTGCTGCCTCAGAAGCTTGTGAGAGAGCTAAGTAGAACTACCAGAGGCAGGAAGGGTGACCGACAGTCTTGCTGGGAAGGCCTTGACTGGTCCTCTCAATCCTCAGCAGATCAATAGAATTCACTTCTCACATACCTTGCAGGCTGCCAGACTAGATGTCTAGCCCTTTTACACTCAGCCTAGGACCATAAGAACAAGCCTGAGTGTCAAAGATACTAGCCTCTAGGATTCCTGGGTCCTTTTGCTGTATATACCAAAGGCCAAGTTTTAGGTGAGCCCATTTATCTGCCGTAGGAGAACACTACCTGAACTAATTTCTACCCACCTGAATCTTGCTGTGGCCCAAGCCTAAATGGACACTAGCCAACTTTCATGACCTGAGCAAGCAGTCTTTTCCCATTTCCTTTGTTCTTTCTGCAACCGAAGCCTCTCACTACTATTTCTCAAAGCAGAACATCATTAGTTTCTGACCAAAATATTAAAGTAAGAAATAGCCAGGTCCCATGTTAATTTCCCAATAATTATCCAGTCAGAACTGAGGAGAGTGAAGGGAAAATGACATTACCACATCCTGAGATGCATACTGGGGGTCCTCTGGGTTGACAGACCAGTAGCAATAATCAAAGCCAAATGCCACCACTTTCTCCCGGGAGTCACCAAAGCCATCTGGTCGATTGTCCACCTAAAATCAAACATAGGATAGTCTTTTCTATCATAATATCAGAATCTAGCCAGTGCCACCTGATTCCTCCCTGCTATAGCTAGAGAGACCTGAACTGGTCATGAAAATCTTTATGTTATCTACCTGAAGAAAAAAAAGTAACCTTTGTCATTTCCTCATTTAAAACCCCTGGAGAATTAAATGTGCCTATCATACTGTCACCCATCTGCCTATATATGAACCAAGCACAGAGCAGCTTAGGAGAGAAAGTCTTTCCCTCTCGGAGCATCTTTTTATCACTATCATTTTTTCTCCAGGCATTTCTGTAAAGGATACTAGGAGTGCATGTGTAGTTCGGTGCCTGGGCCTGACAGTCTACCAACTGAGGGCTTTCACAGAGGTCCCTTGGTATCCACCCCTAGCGAATTAGGAAGCACAATGGACAGAAGAGTGAGGACCAACCCAACTGCCCATGGTAGATGAGGGTAGAGCCAGAGCTTGGAACCACACTGACTTCCAGGTACTGGGGAGAATGGTATTATTCCCAGAAATGTCTTACTATTTAATATTTAGACTCTGAACAGAGATAGACAACCCCCAGCACTAGTCACCATAAACTACAGTAGAAGGAGGCTGTCAGAATGACTAAGAAATTTTTAGTGGATAAATGACTTCAAGGAAGTAGACAGCTAAGGAGGTGTGCAGGGGGCAGATTAGAGTTTGATCCTGGCCAGGATTTATTCTTAAAAACCAAAAGTCTCACCTTTCAGAACAAAGCCCCTGAAGTGTTTAAGCAACAGAGACATAAATAAGAGACAGCAGAGAATAAAAGGTCTTTTGTCCCTGGGGAGCTCCTGTTGCAAGTTTGGCAGGTCCTGTTCTCTTTTAGCCCAGAGCTGCTGTCAAGGGAAACATCGTATCACATCACATCACAGGAGTGGGCATGGCTGGAAGGCCTGGGTTCTTGATAACCCTCACTCATGCAAGTCAGCTTCCTCACTCTCAGGAGTGCTTAATACTACCTGCAAGCTGTCTATAGCAGCAGTCACATGGCCAGCTTCCCTCCGTCACACCCCAAGGCCCAGAAAGAAAGAAACTCTTCCACTTCCGCTGTTCTGGTAAAGGAAGGAATAGGATGGAGGAAATCAGCCCTGGGAAGGGGTGTGGGGTGGGGGAGGAAGTTCCCAGCGTTTGTCCAATTGTGACTCAAAGGTCAGTTAGATCTGTGAAAGAAAATCTGTATCAAGACCCAGGATAGTGACCTACTCCATTCTGAGATCTGATGCATATTAAAATCTATAGTAATGCCTCTAAATTAAGTGATATCAAATGAGGGACTTGGGATAAAATCTAACTCGTGGTCAGGCGAATTAAGTATATCCACAGATGTACCCAGCATGACTTAAACTGGCCATGGTGCCCATAAACAATTACCAACCAGTTTCTAAACATCTGCACCCTATTTGACAGAACTTGGGCTGCCGTGCCACAATTCCTATACTTCTTTCCTGCCTTATTTTTTTTTTTTTCAATGTTTATTTATTTTTTTGGGACAGAGAGAGATAGAGCATGAACAGGGGAGGGGCAGAGAGAGAGGGAGACACAGAATCGGAAACAGGCTCCAGGCTCTGAGCCATCAGCCCAGAGCCTGACGCGGGGCTCGAACTCATGGACCGTGAGATCGTGACCTGGCTGAAGTCGGACGCTTAACCGACTGCGCCACCCAGGCGCCCCTTTCCTGCCTTATTTTTATACTTGCTTTGTAGTAGGTTATAACTCTTCCCTCTCCCAATCCTCCACCCTAAACACATCCTTATCCCAGAAGCCCCTGTAATCATACAAACTCCTCAGTGGAAAGAGAAAGGAAAACAATTTCAGGCTTACCTTTAAATTTCTGATTTTTGCCACTTTGCCATCAACTTCCATGATAATTCTTCCCCCTTCTTTGGTCTCCCTAGAAAAAAGACCCAAACTCATATGAGAAGAAACATTGCTTAAAAAAAAAAAAAAAAAAATCAAGAAAAGGGAAGTTGAGACCAGCGTTATTGGGACAAAATGTTTCCCTACTGCTGTCTCCTAAGTAGCTGTCCCCCGGCAGAAGTGCTTCTCTAGATCATTAGATTGGCTCTAGAAGAGCTAAAAATTACCACTATTGAGCACCCTCCACGTGATAGGCACTGTATTAGGTACAGTCATATTATGCTTCATCTTATGCAATCTTACCGCTAACACACCCTCTTGACATGGCTTCCTACCGTATCTTCATTTTTTCAAATGGAAGACTGAAACTGAGAGAAATTATGTAACTTGTCCAAGCTCACACATCAAGCAGTGGCAGAGCTGGGATTTAAACCCAGATTTATCTGACCACAAAGCCTAGGCTCTTAACCATACCTTAGAAATCAGGCCTGAAACTCTGCAGAGTACCCTTTGCTCAGAGCACAAGTCATCCCCTCTCATTTTTCTGGGATTTTGAGCACAGATAATAATGAAAAGGGTTTTGGAGTCCTCTCTGTTGAGACGCTGAGAACATATTTTCCAAATCCTTTCCTTTTGTCTTCCTAAATCCGAATGAGAGCTAAGATACCCAAGAATTTTCCTATGTAGCAGTTATGTAGTAAAACTACATAACCAACCAACCCCTAAATTTACTTTAAGGGGCTTAATTCAAGTGATCCATACACCTGAAGCCCAAAATAAACAGAATATACTCCATTCTAGATATGAAATCCTTTTAGCTGAAGTGAAAGCCAAAATGGCAGATGAGAATTAAATTCATTGGCATTTCCCCCACTATAATGAAAGTAATCAACTAAATTACTCCTAGCCTAGAACCTGAAAGTTAAGAAAATATGTTCTGTCTCATTTTTATCCTTCCTCATGGTTCCGAGGATGTGACCTTGAGAGTTTGGGGAGGGGAGGAGAGGCATAGTGAGACAAGGGTCTTTACATTTAAGATTTTATTTTTTAACGTTTATTCATCTTTTGAGAGAGAGAGACAGAGCGTGAGTGGGGGAGGGGCAGAAAGTGAGAGAGACACAGAATCCAAAGCAGGCTCCAGACCCTGAGCTGTCAGCACAGAGCCCGAAGTGGGGCTCAAACTCACCAACTGTAAGATCATGACCTGAGCCAAAGTCAGATGCTTAACCGACTGAGCCACCCAAGCACCCCTAAGATTATTTTTTTAAACCGGTGAGTGAGTCTGGGATAAAGCCCTGGGTGGGAAATTTCCCTCTCCCATGTAGTAACTTGTCTGTTACCTAAATTTCCTCAAGGCCTTGATGCTCTTTCTTTCACATTTTATACTAGATAGTACTCAAGGCACCTGAGATACTCTTAGTCCCCCAGGATCATAAACCATACCCTGCTCATCAGCCCTCAATGATTCTAAAGAAAATCTTTCATCTTTACTGTTAACATTTTACATGGTAACATTTTTTTTCCTTTCTTCATTCTAAGGTACATTTTATTATCTCTCCTCCCACTATAAAAGCAATACACATATTGTAGTAAATTTGGACAATAAAGAAAATAAGAAAAAAAATCATGCAATAACTTTTCCAAATCTATTACCTAATTTTTTCTAAGTACACCCTTTCTTGAGGATTCATCTATGACTCTCTCATATAAAGCAGCCTGAAAAGAAACATCCTGAATTTGACTTCTTGGAAGAAAGATACAAATCATAAGGGTAAGATGCTGACTCTTCCAGGCCTGGACCACTGCCATTGGTAACCTAGGGATTCCAAGCTATTCTAAAACAAAATGAGGGAGAACTAAAACTGAGCAGAACAGGGGCGCCTGGGTGGCTCAAACGGTTAAGCGGTTATGCATTTAACTCATGGTTCATAGGTTCAAGCCCTGTGTCGGGCTACACACTGATAGTGTGGAACCTGCTTCAGATTCTCTATGCCCCTCCCCAACTCACGCTTTCTCTCTCTCTCTCTCAAAATAAATAAACAAACTTGAAAAAAACACTGAACAGAAAGAAAGGGCACCAACCTCAACTGGGGAGCTGGCCACACAGAGCTCAACGAAAGTCTGCAGAGATAGAGCCTTATGACGCGGAATGGCGCTACTAACACTTGCCTTGGGGTCCTGAATTCTACCAAGAGGCATTTATTTCTTAGAATGAATTTCCCTTTGCACAGGGATAAATCCTCAGTTACACATTTACTCCTACAACAATGTTTCTTAGAGTGTGGTCCACAGGCTACCTTCATCAGAATTAAGTGAGTTGGTGGGTTTATTTGAATTCCTGTTAACAAGTTGCATTATGGGGCGGGGAACAACAAGCCAAGTTGCATTATAACAAGCTCCCCAGGTGGATTGTATGCAACGGTAATTTGAGAATCACTGCCCTAGAGGGGAAAATAAGCAAGCCATTACCACTTATTATCTAATCATTTGTAAAAGTTAAAAAAAAAAAAAAAAAAAAAAAAAAAAAAGCAGACATCTAAGTATAAGGAGTAATAAAAATAATTGTTAAAAATTATATAGCGAACACCTTTTTGTACCCTTAAAATGAGCCAAGCCCTAGGTATTTTTAATGTATTCTTTCATTTAATCTTCATAAAAAAAATATTGAAGTAGTTATCCTATTTTACAGATTAAAAAAAAAAAAAACCTACGACCCACAGAAAGGGAATATAGTATACAAACAGTAACTTTTGACAGGGCAGTGGGGAGTATTCCAGAGCCTACAATATTGACAGAAGAGAACATGTTCTTTCAATGATGAATGATTCTGGATACGCAAGGAAGAGCATCACATAATGAGCTACAGATTTTCTAATTATGGGAAATTGTGAGGAGTGGGAGGGAATCAAAACCATTTCCCACATTATCATTTTACTTATGGTCAGTCCCAGTCCTATTAAGCCAACAGGCATTTGATCAAGAGGCACAACTTTTTGGTCGTCTCAGGAAGAAACAACTTTGTCTACTGACTGGAATCTTGACTCTACCTACTTTTAGACCTTAAACAAGACCATTTTCTTATCTGGAAAAACAAAAAATGGAAGCTTAGACCAGATGATCTCTAAGATTTCTTCACAAGTACATCATATCCAATGACTATTAGCTGAATCCGTGCCAGTGACTTATTTGAAGTTTGAACAAACCACATAATTAGCAGATTCCCTACATTTGGATGAACCTCAGCAAAGATAGTGGAAGTTAACAAACCCTGGGTATAGCTGCATCTCTGCAGGATTCTCTGAGAAGACAGGAGTGGTCTCGACTTCTTAGCTGGGGAGTCACAGTGGGTTTATCCATATTTGCTCCTGAATCTTCAGCCTCATATAATTTATTCACACCTGGATATCTGCAGCATTGGCATTCTACCTCTTGATGCTCAAGCCTCGTTACCTAAACTAAAAGCAAGTAAGCTTTCGTGCCCTTTTTTCACCTTCACTTTTGTTTGATGAGATAAATTACTCTCTACCATGGCTGCAAATAAGTCAATTTCAAAAGCATTTTCTTAGTTTTTTTATGTTTATTTTTGAAGAGAGCGAAAGACAGAGCAGGAGTGGGGAACGGGCAGCGAGAGAGGGAGACCTGGAATCCTAAGCAGGCTCCAGGCTCTGAGCTGTCAGCACAGAGCCCGACCTGGGGCTCAAACTCACCAACGCGGGAGATCATGACCCGAGTGGAAGTTGAACACTTAACCGACTGAGCCACCCAGGTGCTCCACAACAGCGTTTTATTAATCTAATCCACACTATTATAAATTCCTAGCACTCAAGGAATTGAGAGGCTACTGTTAGGGGTGCTCAAGGTAATTATCCTGAGAACCCTAAAAGAACAGTTTTGCAAAAAGAAGATGAGCTGGAGGCTACCTCCAAGGTGGCAGCTGCACCTATGAAAACTCCTCAACCATAAGTCACCACATTCAATCATGCAGAAGCCCGATGTCATAAACCACTTACCAATCTAAACACAGCAGTTCAGGCATGTACTGCTTTCCTTCTTTCTTCATTGTATCTCTTTTGCCTTTTTCCTACTTTCTTTTCTGTTCTTGTTTCTTTCCCTCATCCCATTGCTCGCCTCATTATTCTGTCAATTGTATGACTTTTCAAAACCAATCACCACCATACGAGGGACAAAAATAATCCCTGCTAGTACCAAATTTTGTTATGGGAGACAATGCATTTTTGTTTATCCTTCTGCCCAATTTGCAAGCCACCTTATGTCCTGGAAAAAATTTAAACCTCCCAAATAGCTCCATTATATGTCTTATGGTCCCAAACTACATTCTGCCACCTTTGTCTCCTCTCACTCACCTCCCTCTACACATCCTCTCCCCAAAAGGGGGTTTTCTAACAACTGAAGTCCTTTGCTCTCAGTGTTCTTTCTACACCTTCTATACCTATCAGCAAACTCTAATAGCTCTTTAAAAAACGGTACAGGGGTGGGGCCCCTGGGTGTCTCAGTTGGCTAAGCATCTGACCTCGGCTCAGGTCATGATCTCATGGTCCATGAGTTCAAGCCCCATGTTGGGCTCTGTGCTGACAGCTCAGAACCTGGAGCCTACTTCAGATTCTGTGTCTCCCTCTCTCACCTGCTCGCTCGCTCTCTCTCTCTCAAAAATATAAAACATTAAAAAATTAAAACACACACACACACAGTTCAGGGGCTCCTGGTTGGCTCAGTCAGTAAAGCATGAGACTCTTGCTCTCCTGATCTCTGGGTGAGCTCGAGCCCCACATTAAAAAACGACAACAAACAAATAAAAACAATTAAAATACCAGCCCTTCCCTGGCTTTCCAAACCTAGGAGTGGAAAATCCATGAAAAAGGGAAGAAATTATGTCGCCTGATATTGGATGCCTCAAGAGCTGAGAGATGATGGATCTGATTAGCCCATGAGGAAATAAGCACTGACGACACTGAAGAAACGGGTTAGAATAACTTCCTTCTACTACCCAGTTCTGCTACCGCGCATGGGATGAAACCGCGCTCTTCCTGGGCCTCAATTTCCCTCTCACGCCTGACAATCTGGCTCTCTCCACATCTGTGCAGAGAAACCAATGTGCGCTCAGGAGCACACACAATTCTGCCTCAGCCCCCGCAGGTACTCCAGAGCCACCAAGAAGAAGAGAAGACACTGCCCATTCCTCTCCCCGGGTACTTTCCCAGCCCTTCTCAGCGAACTCAGTGAGAAAGGCCCAACCAACCCATGCATCAAGACTTGAGCCGTGGTCCCCCAAAACTCCTGCTCACAGGACTCCCGGGACACGGACACAGCGCAGCCCACCGCTGACGCAATCCAGTAAGCACTATACGCTAGGACGAGACCCGAAAGTTCTAACCGAAACTTTGTCCCGCCAGGCTTTTAGGGTTTCCGGACCCTGGCCCCTTGGGCCACTTTGTGTCTGACTTCTCCGCGCCAGTATCACTTGAGCGAGAGGCGGGGACCTCGCCCTCCTCTCAGCTCATATGACGCCTCAGGAGCCCCCTCCCTTCCAGACTCACCTCTTGCTGAGAGGTCGGACCCTCACGGCCACCCGCACGTTCGCCATCCCTCGGCCTCAGCCCAAGCCCAGCCGCAGCATCCCCAGCCCAACCCCAAGTCCAGCCCCGCCCGCCCCACGCGCCTCACGGGACGGCCCCGCCCATGCGCGCGCAGTGAGCCCGCGAGGGTAGAGTCTGCGGCGCCTCAGCCAATCGTGAGTCCGGTGGGCGGGAGGTCGCCCGGCCCGGCCTGCCAAGCCCGCCTGGCTCCGCCCCGCCTCGCCCCGCCCACGCACCGCCCAACACAGCGCCGCCCAAGGGCGAATCTGTTCGACGAGGGCGAGGCCTGCCGCGTCTCAGCCAATCCTGAGCCATACAGGCCAGGCCCCACCTACCAGGAATTAGCTTTTGTTCTCGGACAGTGCTGTACAGAGTCAAGTAAACACGTTTAAGTTTCGGTTAACACCGACAGTTTACAACGAAATTTGCTAAATACTTGTAATCACTGCGTTGCCCTGAGCTGTCAATTCTGTGCTTAAATTTTAGGGGCAGAAATGAAATGGCGAACAGTTCCCAGCGACATTTGCAGTTCCTAGCGAAGAACAGTGCTCTTGAAGAAGCACCGGGAGTGTGAAGTTTACAGTGCTAGTTGGCAAGCTTCTCTAGATTGTGATGGAACTTCATGGCCACTCTGACAGTGTTTGTGATCGTGGAAAGAATGCTGTCAGTCCGAAATGGTTCATTAGTTCATCCAAGAAATAACTTGAATACCTACCAAGAGTCAGGTGCTCCGGTTCTTGCGGATACAGTCCCAGCTTTCGCGGAACTTAGAATCTACAGGGAAAGGAAAAGAGACAAATTATATAATTTGTCAGATGGTGCTGACTGAAATTTTTTTTTAAGCAGGGAAATGGTTTTGGGATATGTAGAGGGAAAGGTACTTATACAGGATCTTAAGGAAAGACCTCACTGATAAGGTGACACTTAACTAGATTTGAAGAAAAGGAGGGGGCCCTTCAAGTATTCATTTATTTAATAAATATTTTCTAAGCAAGCACCTATTATAACGGGCTTTGTTCTCAGTAGGAAGGATATAATTCTTCCTACAGTGAAGAAAACAGGCAAACCTCTGACCTCATGGAGCTTGGTGAGAGAAATTACCAATAAGCAAAACAATTTAAAATGTATATCAGAGATGTATAATATGCATAAAGACAAAATATAAAGCAGGAGAGGAGATAGAAGAAAGCAGAGAAGGTGTTGAAATTTCAGATATGGCCAGGGAAGTATTTGCTGAGAAAGTGACATGAGAAAAATCTGAAGGAAAGAAAAGAATCCCGCTGTTATCTTGAAGGACAATTCCAGACACAGGGACCAGGCCAGTGTGAGGGCTCAGAACTTGGATGTAGCCTTGAACATTAGAAGAATGACAAGAAATTCAGTGGGGATAGAATGAAGTGACAGAGAGGGAGAGTCATAGAGGTAACATGAAACCACCATAAACTCTTTGAATTTTATTCTGGGTGAATTGGAAAACAATTGGAAAGTTTTAAGGAGAAAGCAAAATTATATGATTTATATCTTTAAAGGATTGCTCTGGCTGTTGTTTTGAGACTAGGCTGAGGAATGGGGAATGAGGAAAGCCCAACAGAGACCAGTTAGGAAACTCTTTAGTACTTCATGGTGGTGTCAGGCATTTTGCAATAGCAGTTTACCTTTCCAGTCTCCTCTTTCTCATCTGTTTGAAAGTATTCTTCCTTAGAGTATTAGGACACAATTCAGATTCACCTGGAACCCTAGTCTTCTGAATGGCTTCTCTACTCACTGTGCTTTGCAGTGAAAATAATCACTGTTAGGAAAACCAGTATTGAGGTTCTTCAAAAAATTAAAAATAGAAATACCAAAGATCCCACTTCTGGGTAAAAATGGAAATGAAATGAAATCAGTATCTTGAAAATATACCTGCACCCGCAAGTTCGTTGCAGCATTATTCACAATTAGCCAAGACATGGAAACAATTTAAATGTGCACCAAAAGATGGATAAAGAGGGGTATCTGCATGGCTCAGTCAGTAGAGCATCTGACTCTTAGTTTTGGCTCAGTTGTGATCCCAGAGTTGTGGGATTGAGAGAGATTCTCTCTCTCTCTCTCTGCCTCTCTCCCCTGCTCATGCTCTCTCTCTTTAAGAGAAGAAGAAGAAGAAGAAGAAGAAGAAGAAGAAGAAGAAGGAGGAGGAGGAGGAGGAGGAGGAGGAGGACGAGGACGAGGAGGGGGACGAGGAGGGGGACGAGGAGGAGGAGGAGGAGACAGGGACACCTGTCTCAGTTGGGTAAGTGGCTGACTTCAGCTCAGGTCGTGATCTCACGGCTCATGAGTTCAAGTCCTGCTTCAGGCTTGGTTCTGACAGCCTGGAGCCTGCTTTGAATTCTGTGTCTCCCTCTCTCTCTGCCCCTCCCCAGCTTGCACTCTGTCTCTGTCTCTCTCAAAAATAAATAAACATTTAAAAAAAGTTTTTTAAAGATGGATGGATAAAGAAAATGCAGTGTGTGTGTGTTTGTGTGTGTGTGTGTGTGTGTGTGTGTGTGTGTGTGTGTGATGGAAAATTAATCAGCCATTTAAAAAAAGGAAATCCTGCCATTTGTGACAACACGGATGGGCATTATTCTAGGCAGAATAACTCAGAGAAAGATAAATCGTGTATGATCTTTCATGTGGAATCTTAAAAAGCAAAACTTACTGAAACAGATTGGTGGTAACAGGGCTGGGGGTGGGAAAATGAGAATATGTTGGTCGAAGGGTACAAACTTCCAGATAGAAGTTCTGGCCATCTAATGTACAGTATAGTGACTATAGTTAACAATACTGTATTGTATACTTGAAAGTTGCTAGGACTGGCACCTAGCTGACTCAGTTGGTGGGTCATGTGACTCTTGATCTCAGGGTTGTGAGTTCCAGTCCCATGTTGGGGGTAGAGATTACTTAGAAAGAAAGAAAGAAAGAAAGAAAGAAAGAAAGGAAGAAAGGAAGGAAAAGAAGGAAGGAAAGAAAAGAAAGAGAAAAAAGAACGTTGCTAAGAGAATAAAATTTTATTTTACTTTAATTTCAGAGAGAGAGGAAGAAAGAGCACAAGTTGGGCAGAAGGGCAGAGGGTGAGAAAGAGAGAGAATCTTAAGCAGGCTCCATGCTCAGCATGGAGCCCAACATAGGGCTCCACTGCACAACTGAGATCATGACCTGAGACGAAACCAAGAGTCAGAGGCTTAATCAACTGAGCCACCCAGGCACCCTGAGAATAAATCTTAAGTGTTCTTACCACCACACACAAAAATAGTAATTATATGATAATATATATGGATATATTAACCAACCTTATTGTGGTAATCATTTCACAATGTCAATATGTTGTACACCTTAAACTTACACAGTGTTAAATATGAATTGTATCCCAATAAATCTGAAAAAAGTATTGTTTTGTTAATATATTTCTATTTTCAGATTGGAGAAGTTGGCCTAATAATATTCTGTACTTTAAAAATTGTGTATAATCATAAATATTTCGATCTGGACTTTTAAAAGATAAGGACACTTTTTAAGAGAGAAAGATAGCTAGCAGGAGGGGGGCAGAGAGAGAGAGAGAGAGAGTGAGAATCCCAAGCAGGCTCTGTGCCATCAGCATGGGTGCCCAAAATGGGGCTCCAACCCACGAACCATGACATCATGACCTAAGCTGAAATCAAGAGTCAGATATCAAACCTCCTGAGCCACCCAGCTGCCCAAGAACTTCTTTCTAACATAACCATAATATCATTATCATGACCAGGGACATTAGTTCCTTAATACCATAAATATTCAGAATTTAAACTTCCCTTATTGTCTCCTAAAGTTATTCTTTTTAAACAATCTCTGGAGGTGCCTGGGTGGCTCAATTGATTAAGCATCCAACTTTGGCTCAGGTCATGATCTCACAATTTGTGAATTTGAGTCCCACATCAGGCTCTCTGCTGTCAGCATGGAGCCCACTTTAGATCCTTTGTCCCCCTCTCTCTCTGGCCCTCCCCCTCTCATGTTCATCCTCTCTCTCTCTCTCTCAA